TGATTTTGGAATTTAGATGCACTGTTATTAAATTAATTGTGCTTAGCCATACATGTTCATATCCTTGAAGATGTATCATGAACATTTACAGAAATTTTGGAATTCCATTCATTCATTCATTCATAGTTGCACTTTTTTCTCTTAACCCCCCACCCCCGTTAGCTCCTCTCTTCAAAACCAAAAGATAAACTCCTTCATTGGTATACGTTTTTAAATGTAAAATTAATTTGACGTGTGAAATTAATTTGAATAATATGGCTAAGATGTTATAATTTAAAACAAAAAAGTTATCAATATAGTAAAAGTGTATTAATGACATTTACACTATTTATGGCAAAATTTTGAAATCCAATGTGTGTTTTACACTTAAAGCATCTTTCAATCCAGACTAATCTCATTTTCAAGGTTTAGGAGTCACCTGTGGTTTATGGTTTTCTAATCAGAAAATATAGAATCTTTGTGCACTCACTGTGTAAAGAAATTCGGAGAGGACAAAAGAGCCAAAGATGACAGTCTCCAATAGGTTGACATTGACAAGGAAGGTAAATTCAGACAGCACCTCATTTACACTGTTTCTTTTTTAGCTACTTTTATTCATTGCCATTGAGTCAGGACCACTTCAGAGCTCACTCTGCAGTGGGTTTTCAGCAGCTGGTGGAATCACCTTCCTGCCTTTGTGTTGCCAGCCAGCTTCTCACCTGTTAGGCCCCTGGAATCATAATTCAAAAACCAAGTCTTTTTTTCTAAAATCCTTATAAATTATTGATAGTTCTTTGGGGACTTCATCAAATCCCCTACTTTTCTTTTATTCCTTCTTTACTAACTTCTAAGAGACAAAATGACTGGGACTCAGTTTTTTCCTCCTCTCCCCATAGCCTGGCTGCTATATTGTCACCTGCACTGACCCACTGCTGTGCTTCCCGGCTGCCTGAAATACTGACATCTTAACTTCTTGTGCAAGTATTCCTGCTTAAGGAAATGCAATTTCACCCATTCCTATGGCCGGCAATGCTTTTTTGTTGTTGTTCAAGTACAAGAAGTTGCTTAGTTAACAATGTAAAGCCAGAATTTCCAGCTTACATTCCTAAAACCCACAGAAAACAATGTGATTGATAGATGAGCAAATATTTCTTAAATAACTGACACTTTACCAAAACTAAGAAGTAGTGGGTAAAGCCATATTTGGTAAGTAGGTAGCAGAAAAACAAAGCAACTGACTGCCAAACTTTGGCCCCATGGGGAGAAAGGAGGACAAGAACATATGGAACATGTTTTAAAACAAAATTCTGGACAGAAATTCAAGTGTGATAAACATGGTGGTCAGGAGAAAAAAAATCACTGGTATGTACACTGCAAAATAAAGTCTACAGAGGAAGGAAGGGATGTTTCAGACAAATCTGAAGCCATGACTTCCTTTTCTTGGACATTATTTGCTGTTTAAAAAAAATGAGCCTGAATATGAGCAAATTAAACAATGATTGTTTTCGTTGTGTGCCATCAAATCACTTGCAACTCATAGTAACCCTATTTTACAATTGCCCTGAAACCTGCTCTATCCTGTGCCAGCCTTATTGTCTCTGACACACCTACCAGCATCCAATACGCAAAGAAACTTAACTGTACTATAGGCTGCTTCATTTATGCGATGTTGTATTCATTCCTATATCCTGTATTATGGATAATTAATGTCTCGTATGTACTGGTCACTGAATAAATAATTGACTGAAGAACAGTGGGTACTTTTAGTGAAGGATTAAAAGACATATTTCAGATTGTCCAGATAATGGGGAAGGAAAAACCCAAAGCTACAAGAGGGAATAAAATCCTTGATCCACTCTCTTAAAGAACTCTTGAGAGCACACAAATGGAAGCCATCTGAAAAAAGCTTCAAAATGAGAAATGGTTTGAGTTTGTGCTGTGCCCACTGTCTGTGATGTTTCCTGTATCTGGAGGATAATGGTTGAGTGCCAGTATAGGATGCCATAACTTACTGCTTCTTTTTTAGCTACTCATTGTCACTGAGTAAGAGCCATAGCTCTTAAATCCTCAGTGATTGTGTGGCATTGTTATTACTGATTATTATACAGTCAGTGAGACTGGCTCAGGACAGGGCAGGCTTCAGAGCTATTGTACATAGGGTCGCTATGAGACGCAGGTGGCTTGACAGCATATAGCAACAGCAACAACAGTAGTAGTCGTTATTGTGTGCTGTCAAGTTGGAACTGACCCATACTTGACCCTCCAGCAGGTTTTCAGAGGCTATAAATTGCACAGGAGGAGACTGCTCATCCTTCTCACAGAGCAGCTGTTGGAATCACACTACCTGCCTTTTGTTAATCATAAGATTACATATGCAAAATTTTCTGGATCTTTCTGCTCAGCACTGAGGACTCTGTGTTGTCCTACCCACTAAGCCTATTTCTTCACCCAAATCTAGGTTCCCAGGACCACTCCCTATCTTGAAGCTTTGATCTGCCTCCCTTGCATAAGTTTTTTAACTTAAAACTCCTACTTATCTAACAGTAAAAACTTTATATTATTCCAAATAAATGTGAACAAGATTATAATTTTCAACATGTAAATGTTTAAAATAAGCTTTCAAATATTTACACACATTACACTAATCAAACAATGCAGCTGTAGAGCATAAAAAGAAATCAAATGTCTCTAACCGAAGGAGCCCAGAACTCTGGCTAAACGGGTTTCCCTCCCACTGTTTACCTGCAGTTGATTTCACGAGATGCCTAACTACAAACATGTGTCCTCACTGACACTTCGTGAATCTTCCTCTCAAGTGACTTTCCTGAAACCAGCCTTCTAGCCAGGTTCCTTGGAACCAACATAACTGCTATGAAGATAATTTACTGACAGATCTTTATTTATGCTAGTTTAGTCTGGGAACTTGTTTCAGTCTTTGGACTTCTTCAGTGCTAAACAATCACCATAAATGTGGCTTGGGCTAACAGCATTCAGCCACGGGGTGTGCCTCCTAGCAGCAGAATAGACCACTTTTTGCATTCCTTAGAAATAAGATATAGTTCAACATTTCACATCATAGCAACAGTTGATAAGAGAAACAGCAAAAAGGTAATTATTCCCATATGGAATGAAAAAAAAGGAAGAAACCAGTGAAGCTGTGAAACTATTATTTTTCCATGTGAAAATAAAAGTTACTACTGGTTGCAACAATGAATGAATGGAAATCCAAAGTTTCTGTAAATTTTCATTAAAATTAATAATAATAAAAATAAAAACAGAAACATTTATAAATAAAACATTTTAAAAATAAATGTAAAAAAAGATGTCTGTCAAACTAATAAAATGCTAATATTTTTTAACACAATGTTATAATAAAATATTAAAAATTAACATTTCCTATGAGAAAATTTTAAGATGTGTAATAAAATATTAAACCACAGCTAAAAAGAAACCCAAACAAACAACCCCCCCCCAAAAAAAAACACCGTTACTACCGGTACAGGAGGCAGAAAGGGCTAACGCTCTTACGTGTTTCTCATTGTACATTTGTTAGTACATTGCAGAGGACATAATTAATTGAAATAAATATTTCCCTTTTAAACCTAATAGGCAATTTCCAAATGTGTTTTGTCAGACCTGCATACATGTGTGCATTAATTTCAAGCACTACACAGTTCCTTAGTTCTAATTTTTTCCAACCTGCTAAAATTTACATGAAAACTGTTAACTGATTTATTGTAAAATGTATAACCACCTTCCAAATCATCTAATCACCTACAAGGCATTTTAAAGCAAAAGTTGAATAAAATTTCTGTTCCGAAATTTCAAGATCCCAAAGACAACTTGTCCAAATTTTCGGAAGCCTAGAAAAAAAATTCTAAATTTTGAACACAGAAAATTTAAGAATATAAAACAAATTAAAACTTTACTTAGGTATGATAAGCATTTATTACAAAAATATTTATGTTTATTATAAAATAATTTTTGGAAAATCTTAGGATTGACTTCAAATAGCTGTTCATCCTTTAGCATATTACAACAGTGCCCTCTTGTGGCTGACAGCACTCACTTAAAATTGGAAACTTGATTCCTTCATTGCCTTTGAGTTGGAACCCACTCACAGCTGAGCCTCCTTGGGTTTCCCGAGGCTGAAAATCACACGGCAGAAGATTGCCCATCCTTTCCCTGCAAAGCCACAGCCTCAGTGTGGCCATTGGGTTCGCGGGGTTTAACTCCTTACAGACTACACCATCAGTATGGAACTGAAATGTGTTAGCTTAAAATTGTGCCGTGAAAGTTTAACTCATCCTAACAATTTTTTTTTGGAATACAGAGGGAAGATTGAGGGACATGAGGTAAAAATAAAGTATTTAAAATATCTCAGCAAAATGTTTCTAATGTTGAGTTTGGTTTGGGTTTTTTTCTTTTTGCTTTAGTGAATAGAAATTTATTCTCTTACATTTTAGGAGGCTGTTGTAATTGTTATTTGCCTTCAAATGAGAGCAGACCTACAGGTGATCCTCCAATAGGTTTTCAAAGGCAGTAAATTATACAGGAGGAGCCTACTCATCCTCACAGACAGTAGCTGATGGACTCAAACAGAATGCCTTTGAGACTGCAGCACAGCTTCTTAGCACTAGGCCAAATGAAGCTCTGAGAGAATGCCTTCTCTCTCTGACAGTTGTGGAGAGAAATATTTGATTCCTTCAGCATCCAGAGGCCCATTGCTCTCTGAAGACCTTCCCATGTTCTGGCCTTCTCAGCGTCAAAGACCTTTATACACAGAAGCCCAGTCCAAAAAGACACAATCTACTCTTGTATATCATGTTTACTGGCACTAAAGGTTCCCCTGACCCCAGCTCAAAGTTTCTTCTTTAAAATGAAATAGAAGTAAACGTTTTCAATGAAAACATGCTCGTCTATATTTAAAGGATTTTCTTTCTTTTCTTTGAGTATAACATACAAAATAAAATCAGTATTCCACTCTGTTGATTTAAGAGATACAATGGAAAATTTCATAGAAACAGTAGTTTGAAAATGCTTGTCCAAAATTACTTTTGTTCAAGATCACAGGTTACAGTAACTGGCAATAACCTGCTCCAACAATGTGAAACCGTCCAAGAAATCTTCTTCTTCAATTCCAAATTTTGTGTATTGATGAACATAGGCTCTAGTGAAAAAACAGAAATGTACAAATAGCTCAACTCAGTAACTCTTAAAATCAAACAACAAGGAGCCCTTTTCCAGCCCATGAGTAGTTTAAAAGTGTAGAATATCTTAGGGTCTTATAGTTGTTTCATTGTTTACTCCAAAGATTAGCCAACTTTCTAAGTTTGTCCAGCTTTCTTCCTGTTCTCTTAGTGTCTAAAACAGACACAATGAGAGGCACTTTCTAAGGGATGGTGGGGTCTTTTATCTAAGGCTTGGAACTGTGCTTAATGTGGTGAAGACTTCCTAGTGATTTTCACACAGAACTTATTTGGTATATATGTCACGATGGTTCTTCCAACCCTTCTTTCAAATTTATTATCAGTAGCATTATCGGTTAAATGTTGTTATGTACCACCTAGTTGGAACTGACAGATGACTCTCTAGTGGGTTTTCAAAGGCAGTAAATTTCTCAGGAGATGACCCTTCTTTCTCCTGTGGAGCATGTAGTGGGTTCAAATTGTGTGTTTTTGAGTTAGCAATGCAGTTCTTACTGCTAAGCCGCCAGAGATACCCATTAGGATGGTTCTACCATTTAATGAGAATGGGGAAAGCAGGAGGCCAGGAAGCGTGCATGGAGGATGGTGAGCGCTTGGCAACCTCAGCTAACCAACGTAGAGGCCCACCCAGTCATTAGAGGAATTTTGTTTTGAAAATGAATTGTGGTGCAGATCAAGAAACCCAATAAAACATTTCTTAGCATTACGTTGAACTTACCAGATTCCTTTCTCAGCAAGATGAGCAGGTTTCCTACACTCCTAAGAATCTTCTTTTTGGAAAACTATCTTATTGTCCTTGTCTTATAATTAAATTTCTGCTCTAATTTCAGGTGTTTTAGAGATTACACATTTAATCAACCCTCCTATTACTAAAGGGAGTTAATGCTGGTAAAATGTTGTGCAGCCAACCCAAACGTTTAAATCCACCAGCTTCTCCATGGGAAAATGATGGGTGATCTCCTCCCATGTGATTTACGACCTCTGAAAACCTGCTGGAGGGTCAAGTAGGGGTCAGTCCCAACTTGATAGTTCACAACATCGAACCATGTGCCTCAGGCTTACAGTGCAGCTTCTTGCCACTAGGCCACCATGGCTCAACAACAACTACTACTACTAACGTATAATAATCAGTAATAATGCCAATCACTGGGGATTTACCTGTCAGGGACTGTGCTAAGTATTTCCACATATTTATCTCGTTTCATTCTCACCATCTACTCTCTCAGTGAGGACCCACATATGGAGGTGGAAATGTAGCCTAAGCAACGCTCATGGAGTCACACATCAAGAGGGCACCACGCTAACTCCACATCCTGCCTCATGTTTAATTCTGTATTCTATTGTCTGCCTAAACTTGAAACAGTTTGTAGACCAGTATTTTACTTACTTTGAAGCAAACATATTCCACGCTTTGCCCACAATCCTATCAAGTGGCTTTACTAAGAACTGGCTATTGCTGACCAGTGTTGCAGACTTTTCGTATCTGTTGAAAGCTCGCTGAGTTTTCCACATGTTAAAAGCATGAGCAGGTTTTAACCAGGAAGTATAGATAGCTGGATCTTTAAATCCTCCTACAGTGAAAACAAAACAAATTATTCTTTGAATCATAAATTATTTATTTTGAAAAACAAGAGACAAATATTTCCTCGTCTAATTATTCTGATATCTCTTTGGTTTTTACTTTTCAAATTACCTTTTTCCCAATAGAAAGCATGCTAAGTTGCAATCAACTTTTTCTGAGAAAGATATTCTCAGCATTCCTGGAGGTGTGGATGGAAAGACAAATGAGAAAATTTCCATTTAGAAAGAGAGTAAAGCCAAACAGACTGAAGAGAAATCAGGAGAATCTGAGATGGGATCTTTTACGTGACAATTTCATGACAGGAGGGAGCATCTAGGAAAGATGAAGATAACGAAAATGATGGATCAGATACCAGCCTGTTTCCATGAAAAGGGAATCAGACACAGGAAGTTATGTAGGAAAGAAAACATTTAATTGCTCTCTTTATCCTAGAAAAATATTTAATATGCTGAAAGCTGGAGAATTATAACAGATACCATTTATAAGAAAACAAAAAGATTTCTTACTTTTTTTAAAAAAAATTATTATTTTGTGTGTGTGTACTGTCATATTGGATCTGACTGGTACAGGAGGAGATTGTGCCTCCTTCTCCAGCAAAGCATCTGATGGATTAAAAAGGATTTCTTACTTTTTATCAGCTTTGGTTATATCCTTTTTTTTCACATTAAACTTTGTTACTACTGTTTTCAAACTTTGTGTAATTTTTAGCATTGCTCCTCTAAACATTTTGTAAACATAAATATATCTACTTGTCTAAAATACTAAAATGATCCATCATTACAAATTTACATAGGGATTATGGAGGTTGATGTCTTATTTTAATATCACCAATGTTTCTAGAAATGGCAATACTAATTCTTAAGTAAAATGAATAATTTCAAGTTTACAAAAACTAGCTTTATACTGCTTTTGGATTAATGACTTATGTTCAATGCTGGGGTGGAGGATCTGTAATAATTCACACCATTCAGAAAAATATTAAGAAGGGAGCTCTCGTGGCCTAGTGGCAAGAGCTGTGCTGCAATCCAGAAGGCGCACGATTTGAATCCACCAGATGCTCCGCTGGAGAAAGAAGGGCAATCTCCTCCTCTGCCAGTCGGATCTGATTTGGCAATACACAACAAGAAAAAAAATATTACTAAAAACAAAAAGAAAAATATGAAGAATGATAAATTCACCTAAACTGCTGAAACGCCCGCACCCAGAGTGACTGCTATGAATAGTTTAACTATCCTTGTGTATGTAATTTTATCTACCAGCTCTTCTAAAACCTGCAATTCTCATTCACAAGTATGTTAGGAGTGATCTCTGGTGATACAGTCTGTGAGGAGTTGTACTGCAAATCCAAAGACAGTACCTCTCTGATGGCTCAAATCCACCACCAGCTCTTTATGAAAAAGACGGGCAATATCCTCCTTTGTAATTTATAGCCTCCAAAAATAACATCACCAGATATGCGCTGCCCCCAATTCCATGGTAGAGGGAGATTTCAGTATGCTGGGAACTTCTTTCCATATCAATGAATATTACTCATCTCAAAGGTTCCTTACTAAGGTGCGTGATACAGGCCATGGTCTTTGCAATTACTTGCTATGCATCATAAAGCTGGACAAAGACTAGGGATGACAGGAGAGTTGATGCCTTTAAGCTGTGGTGCTGGAGAAGAGTATTGAATATACCATGGACTGCTGGGAGAACAAACAACATCCTTGAGAGGGTGAGACCAGGCTGCTTCTTGGAGGCAAGGATTCTGAAGCTCTGTTTGACATATTTTGGGCATGTTGCAAGGAGGGACCATTTCTTGGAGAAGGAGTACTGCATGAAAGGGTGGAGGACCAGCACAAGAGAAGAAGAACCTCGATGAGATGGATTGATTCAGTGACTAGGGTAATGAGGGTAGGTGTGTCAGAGACAATAAGATTGGCAAAGGATAGAGCAGGGTTTAGGGCTTTTGTACCTAAGGTTGGTATGAGTCACAGGTGACTCGACCACACATAACAACAACAACAACAAGGTTCCTTATATGAATATAGGGAGCTCTGGTGGCACAGCTGTAGTCAGTAGGAAACTGTGCCAAGCTAAAGGCCATGTTTCTCTGGCAGATGGAATCTGCCAGCAGCTCCAACAGAGGAAGATGGGCAGTCACCATCCATTAAAATTTAGAGTCTCCAAAATGTGATAGAAGGTCATCTTCGGGGTGGAACTGCCTCAGATGAAGGCAGTGAGTTAACTGGCTAATGAAATGGAGCCCTGATGGCACAGCATGTTAACTGTTGCACTGCTACCTGAAAGGTTGGTGGTTTGAATCTACCAGCTACTCTTTGGGAGAAAGCTGGGTAGTTTCCTCCTGTGAAAATGTATACCCTCAGAAGTCTGATGGAGAGTCATAATGAACTGGAATTGAATCAGTCGCGGTAGATTTGGCTAATAAAGGTTGAGGATCTTTTCATGGCCATTTGGGTATCATTTTAGGTGAGATGTCAATTCACATTTTTGCAAATTTTTAAAATTTGGTTGGTTGTCTTTCTTGCTAAACTGTAGGAGTTCTTTGTGTATTCCAGATAGTAAACCTTTAACCAATATGTTGAAAAATTTTTCTCAGTCTGAAGGTTGTCTCATCACTTTTCTGATAACATCCTTTGTCATACAGGGAGTAATGCCTTTTCAACTTCCCAACAATTCTGCAAAGGCGTTCTGTTGGCTTAGTGGTAAGGAACTGCGCTGCCAAACAAAAGTATGTGGTTCGAATCCACCAGCTGCTCTGTAGGAGAAAGATGAACAATCTCCTACTGTGTGATTTGTTATTGTTACTATGTGCCATCGAGTCACCTAAGACACATAGCCACTCTATGTACAACAATACTATCCTGAGCCAGTCTCATTGACTCTGATACTACTTTCCCCATTGCCCTAGTTACTTTATCAATCCATCTCATCCGAGGTCTTCCTTTCTTGCGCTGTCCCTCCCTACTTCCAAGCATGATATCTTTCTCCAAGGACTGGTCCCTCCTGGCCACATGGCCAAAGTATATGAGATGGAGCTTCAAAATCTTTGCCAAGGAGAAACTTGGTTTCATTCTCTCCAAGACAGACCTGCTTGTTTTCTTTTTCCTTTCCTTTTTTTTTTTTTTTTTTTTGCAAGCTAAAGAAGCTTTATTAAGAGGGATCCTGGACAAGATTCCTTGGTCTAGAGAGAGAGAGAGAGACCAGAAGAAAACCGCCGACCGCCAACCTGCTTGTTTTCTTGGCAGTTCATGGTATGTTCAATACTCTTTTCAAGCACAACTCAACAGCATCAATTCTTCGGTCATCCTTGGTCATTGTACAGCTCTCTGATGCATAACTAGTAACTGCAAAGACCATAGCCTGGCTTAGGCACACCTTAGACTGACATCATTGTTCGATAGCACTTTGGAGAGGTCTCTGACAGCTGACTTCTCCAGTGCACCTCGTCCTTTGATTTCCTGAAGGCTGTGCTATTTACCGCCTCTGGAGGGTCAGTTACAGGTAGGTTCAGAATCGACAGTACACAACAACAATTTCACAAGAAAACGCTGTCGCAGGGACCACCTGTTGTTGTTATGTGCCACTGAGTCATCTCCTGAGTCATGTGCACTATGTACAACAGCTCTGAAGCCTGCCCTGTCCTGAGCTAGTCTCACTGACTCCAACAGAACCTTCCACTTGTAACTGAACTCCTAGATTCCTTTCCAGCTAGGGACAGCATACACATACTTTAGTCCCTGTCAATGGGAGACAAGTGCAAGCATGGCATGTGACTTTAGAAGAAAGGAGTACACTGTCTTTTCTAGTTCTTAAGGATTTGATGGTTGGAGTGTATGCGGGTGTCTTGAGCTATCAGGGTGAAGCCACCAGGTTAGCCACTGGGCAACCCGATGTTCAGAGGAAAGAAATCTCATCCTGTTTAAATGACTTCTGTTTGGTTTTCAGTCACATAACACCTGACACAATGGTTTTACTCAATCCCCCATTAAAATGCACAGTTATTATTATTCTTTCCTTAGGAATAAACTTACTCACGGATCCTTTGTCATCACCATCTATGTAAAATGTGCATCTTAATGTTTGCTTACCCAGATCTGCATTTTGTACATCTTTCCCACGAAGGATGACCAAATTAGCAACGGATGTGTTAAAATGAAGCTCCTTATTGGAAGACTCTTTGCCAAGGGCAGGAAGTCCTGACAAAGGAGGTCGAACCTGCCAGTTGATTCCTACCAAAAACAAAAAAAAAAAAGAGTGAAAGGAGAAGATTATAAATTACTTCGAGCAAGAGGAGAACAGTATCTTGTGGTATGTGCATTTTATAGAAATTCGTATTGATTGGTGACAGTCATTCAAACACCTCAGTTCTCATAATGGTATGACACGTTGTTGTTTTGTGATGCTGGGTCAGAGCTGACCCCTACTGGGTTTTCAGAGGCAGTCCATCACATGGAAGACTGCTCATCTTTCTCCCAGGAAGCAGCTGGTGGATGTGAGCTGCATATTTTTGCGCTGGCAGCTCAACTTTACCATTAAGCCACCAGAGCTTCTTGATGGTATAATACAGTCATCATGAAACGTTAGTGGATGTGGTACATGCATGTGATAGAATTCTACTCAGCAATAAAAGCTATCTACTGACGTGCTGCAATCCCCAAAGGATACAGTTTGAATCCACAAGCTGTTCAGCAGGAGAAGGACGGTCAATCATCCTCCGTGTGATTAACTCTCTCTGAAAACCAACTGGAGGGCCAGTTCCGCTTCAACAACACTCAACCGGTCAGTTCAAACTCATCAGCACACAATAAAAACAACTGATATGTTCAACAGATACTAGGTGAAACAAGCAAGACTCCAAAGACTACACACTTCATATAATTCCACTCATATAACATTCTAGAGAAGGTTAAAAGTATAGCGATAAATATCAGATCCATGGCTGCTAAGGACTGAAAGTGGAAGGAAGAGATTGGCTACAAAAGTTTATGAAGAACCTTTTTGGATGATGGAAATAGTCTGTTAACTGAGGGTGATAAATACACACTGTATAAGGTTGTCACAATGTGTAGAACTATGCTACAGTGTCCTGGTGGTAAGAAGCTGTGGGGCAATCCCAAAGGTACAGTTTGATTCCACCAGCTGCTTTGGGGAAGGACACACAATCTCCTTTCCAGTGATTTACTTCCTCTGAAAATTAACTGGAGGGTCAGCTAGGGTCAGTTATGACTCAATGGCAAACAACAAACTCCTAAAAAGGATTAGTTTTACTTTATGTACCTTAACAAAAAAAAATATTAAAAATATTATGAGGAGGAGGAAGATGGGGGCAACCTAAGTAGCTGCTCAAGGGATGAGGCCAGCCTGGCCTGGGGGCCTGAGGAGCTCACCCCTGACTGGGAAGGTCGGGAAGTGTCCACAGGGACCACAATTATGGCTGTGCAGTTCGATGGGGGCCTAGTTCTGGGAGCCGATTCCAGAACCACCTCGGGGTCCTACATCACTAACCGAGTGACTGACAAGCTGACCCCCAGACATGACCGGATAGTCTGCTGCAGCTCTAGCTCAGCAGCTGATATGCAGGCAGTAGCCTGCTTGGCTTCCACAGCATCAAACTGAGTGAGCCTTCACGGGTACACATGGCAGCCAGCCTCTTTAGGGAGATGTGCTACAGATACCAGGAAGACCTGAGGATGGGAATCATCACTGCAGGCTGGGACCCCCAAAGAGGAGGGCAGGTGTACTCAGTGTCCATGTGGGTATGATGGTAAGGAAGTCCTTTGCCACTGGAGTTTCTGGGGCTCCTATATCTTTGGCTATATTGATGCTACCTACCGGGAAGGCATGACTGAGGAAGAGTGTCTGCACTTCACTGCCAATGCTCTTGCTTTGGTCACGGAGCAGGATGGCTCCAGTGGAGGAGTGATCCGCCTGGCAGCAATTGCAGAATCAGGGGTAGAGTGGCGGGTACTCTTGGGAGACCAGATCCCCAAATTCGCCATTGTCACTGTACCTGCCTCCTAAATCTCTGTACTCTGATATAATTAAAGACACTATACTGACTGAAAATGCAATAAACAGTTTTGTCAAAGAAAAGCCAAATAATGAAGTACAGAAAGACAAAGCAAAACTAGAACTAAAAGTTTACTAGTCATGAAGATTTTTTTTTTCCCCAGCCTGGGAAAATTATCTTTGGGAACAACGTATCTGACAAAGGTCTAACCTCTAAAATATAACTTCAACTCAACAACAAAAAGAGACATAATCTTCTCTGGGTTCTGCTGTAGCCCAGACCATTTTTTTTCCTATTGTGGGTTTTGGTTTTTCCACCCCTCAAAAAAGTGATTTTATTTGATGTAGCCAAATCTTAATAAAGAAAAAATATCCATCAACAGTCTCAGTTAAAAAAAAATAATCTAATTTAGAAATTGGCAATAGACACTTCACCAAAGATAACATTATAAAGACCAACAAATACATTTGAAAAATATTGATCACCTCAACAAGAAAAAGAGACATACTCCAATTAAAAAAATGGGCAAAGGACATGAAAAAGCACAGTTCAGTGGGTGGTAGGAGGCAGGTAAGTGGATGGGAAAAATCTGGTCAAAAATACATGATTGATGAGCAAGGTCCAATGGTGATTAATTTTATAAAACATAATGTATAAGAATGATTGTATGAAACACAATTGAATGAAGAACAGTGTGAAACAGTATATATGAACTTTGTTAGCAAACCAAGAAAAAAACCCCTACAAACAAAACAACACTTCACCAAAGATCTTCATACGGCCAACAAATACATGAAGAAATGCTCAAGATTATTAGATGTCAGAGACATTCAAATAAAAACAACAAGATATCATCTCATTCCAGTACAGGTCAATAAGACATCAATGAACTCATTCTCCCTCTTGTTAGGACATGTGAAAAAAGATATTGCCAATGTGATAATAAATGGGTTCAATCTTTGCACAGAATAGTATGATACCATATAAAAACAAAACACACTGCCATCAAATCAGAACCAACTCACAGCTGAAATTCCTTTAGGTTTCTGAAGCTGTAAATCACATGAGAAGGGACTCTCCATCTTTCTCTTGAGGCGTCAGGATGGATTTGAACCACCAGAGAAGCAACACCTTTGGGTTAGCAGGGAAACTTTATACAGACTAAGCCACTAAAGCTTCGGGTAACATATAAATATGTATGTTTACCATAAATATATAAAGAGTTTAATGTACAGAGATGAAATATAAATACGTTGTTGTTATGTGCTGTTGAGTCAGAACTAACTCCTAGCTGACCCTCCAGCAGGTTTTCAGAGGCAGTAAAATGCATGGGGTGAGACTGCCCATCCTTCTCATTCGGCGCAGCTTGTTGATTCTGTGTATGCCTTTGTCTGGGTTGCAGCACAGTTCCTTACCACGAGGCTCCAGATTCCCCTTATAAACATGTAGAAAATTTAATATAAACATATTGCTCTTATGTGGCCTCGACTTGGAACCAACTTATAGCTGATTCTCCAACAGGTTTTCAGAGGTTGTAAACAGCATAGGAGGAAACTGCCCATCTTTCTTCCACTGAGCAACTGGTACATTAGAACTGCCTGCCTTTGAGTCAGCTGCACAACTGCTTATAGTTACAAAACTATTTGTATCACTCAACCTGGGAAGTATCATCAACATACAATAACAAACAACTTACTGCCATCGAGTTGGAACCAACTCAAAGCTGACTCTTCACTGGGTTTTCAGAGAGTATAAATCACACAGGAGGATACTGCCCACCCTTCCTCCTTGGAGCAGCTGATGGATTCTAATTCTCTGCCTCTAGGCTGGCAGCACAACTCCCTACCCACTAAGCCACCATAAACACATTGTTGTTGTTATGTTCCATCAAGTTACCTGCAACTCATTATATATATATAAAATATATTAATTTATGGATATTTATATATTTATATACATATAATAATGGAAGTAGGAGTGGAATCTACTTCCTAAACAACTTGCCTCTGGGAACTCTATGAACTTTGATAAATGTTGATAGTTGTAGAGGGTCTTTGGGCCTTTTGTTCATAGTGTCGCTGTGAGTCGTGCTCCACTTGAAGGCAATCAACAACAAACAACATACTTGTAATACATAGCTGTTGTGTAGAGTCAGACCAACCCATAGCTGACCCTCCAACAGGTTTTCAGAGTCAGTAAATAGCACAAGAAGAAACTGTCTATCTTTCTACTGCAGAGCTGCTGGTGGATTTGAACCGTGTGTGTTTGGGCCTGTAGCAATTTCTTACCACTAGGCCACCAAAGCTCCCTATTAAATCATATATACTATGTGCATGTAATAGAAGATTTTTCTAGTTCCTAAGATTATTGAAATTGGATAGGGCAGGGCTCAGATCAAATGTGCACAGGGTTTCTATGAGTCACAGACAACTCAATGCCACATAATGACAACAACAAAGATTACTGAGTATTTTCTTCTGCCCTAACAATTCTAGATGAACTTTAGGTTATAGTATATATTGTGTTCTAATACTAAGATTGACCAATGAAAATGTGGTGGGCATTATTTTGAGTTCTACAGACATTAACATACTGATAATCCTATATACATTTTGAGTCACCAGTATGTGGCTGGAATCCAGGTGGGGAGTATTCTGAAGCAGCCTGACTCTACAGAGGTTTTGACTTCTGGTTCTGGTGAGACTCCAGGTGCATTACTAGTCATTGGCTGTGAGTTGATTATATTCGGCCTCCTATTTAAAAAGGCACTTAGTCACCAGTATAGGGCTGGAGTCCAAGTGGGGAGCATTCTGAAGCAGCCTGACTCTACAGAGGTCTGTCAATTTGCTGAACAGAGGGAACTCGCAGTTGCTATGATGCTAAACACTGTGACACTGATGTGTCAAATGCGATAATGGCTACTCATGGTGGACAGGGTTTGGTGGAGCTCTTCAGTTAAAAGAAGCTCGGAAGCAGGAGTCGCATCCACATCTGAAATAGCTTGCCTCCAGAAACTCTATGAATTTGGAGAAACGATTAAAGTTATACAGGTGTTCAGGTCTTTTGTTCATAGGGTCACTATGAGTTATCTATGACTCCATGGCACTTAACAACAACCATAACAACAATTGTGTGTCTCTCTCTCCATATATATAAATATATATATATTCATATTTATTTATTTTTTGTATATATGAAAGAATGAGAGCTTTGGTGACTTAATGGTAAGGAGCTGTGCTGCCAACCCAAAAGCATGCTGTTCAAATCCACCAGTCGCTCTGTGGGAGAAAGACAGGCAATCTCCTCCCATGTGATTTACCACCTCTGAAAACCTGTTAATGGATCAGCTATAAACTACTTCTGACTCGACAGCACATAACAACAATAATAAATGAAAGAAATCTGGTGGTGCAAGAGTTATGTATTTGGCTACTAATCAAAATTATGATTGGAACCCACTCAGCAGTTTCCCAAGAGAAAGACCTGGCAATTGGCTCCCATAAAGATTACAGCCAACAAAACCCTCTGGGACAATTCCTCTGTTACACTGGGCTGCTAATTCAGAATCAATTTGGCATCACTGAACAACATAATCAAACACTCACACAGGAAAACATTTACATGTTCAACGACCTCCCTGTAACTGTGAAGAACTATTAACACTTTAAAGCTGAGTATAAGAAAATGAACTAAACAAATTGTGGTTTATTGACCAAAAAGAGCTAAGAGGAGCATGCCTCACACTACCCTGAGGAATACTATGTTCCTTGAGATGTTAACAGGTATGGCTAGAAAAACAGATACCGCATCTCAGTCAGGAAGTACTACTTTAAAGAGTGAACACTGTACTCATCTTTAAACTTCTGCATTATACATTCATAAGATTCTGGCACAATCTTGCTTGCTGAAACGGAAGAAGATCTGAATCCTTCCCTGTCCTGAGCCAATCTCTCCAACTTTGACACACCAACCCCCATCACCCCAGTTATTGTATAATCCATCTCATCCAGGGTCTCCCTCTCCTGAGCTGTCTGTCCACCCTTCTAAGCATGATGTCCTTCTCCAAGAACCGATCTCTCCTGGCCATATGCCCAAAGTAAGTGAGGCAGAGCTTCAAAATCCTAGCCTCCAAGGAGAGACTTGGTTTCACCCTCTCCAAGAAAGACCTATTTGTTTTCTTGGCAGTCCATGGTATGTTCTAGACTGTTCTCCAGCACTACAACTCGAAGGTACCTATTCTTCTTCTGTCATTCTTAGTTATTGTTCAACTCTCTGAAGCATAACAAGTAATTGAGAAAACCATGGCCTGGATTAGGTGCACCTTTGTATCTAGACTGACATCGTTGCTATTCAGCACTCTGCAACAGTCCATGACAGCAGATTTTCCCAGTGCAATCTGTCTTTTGATTTCCTGACTGCTCATGTTAAGAGCTGATTGCGGATCCAGGTAAGCTGCAATTGCTAACAACCTCAATCTCTTCTCCACCTATTATGGTGCTACCAATTGGCAGGTCTTCTTCAGTTTCAGCAAGCAAGAATGTGTCATCTGCATATCATAGGTTGTTAATGAGTTACTACAATCTTGATGCCACATTCAATCTTGATGCCATTTTTAGATCAATCTTGAAATACAATATTGTGAGTGACAGGATAATATCCATACGCATACAAGGAAAACCTGTTAAAACCACTATCATTCAAATTTATGCACTTACAACTAGAGCCAAAGAGGAGGAAATAGATTTCTATCAACTGTTGCAGTCAGAAATTGATTGAACATATAAGTAACCAAGATGCATTAATAATAATGGGTGATTGGAATGCCAAAGTTGGGAACCAGAAAGAAGGATCAGCGGTCAGAAAATATGGACTTGGTGACAGAAATGAGGCTGGGGATAGAATGATAGAATTCTGTATAATCCATTATTTATTTATAGCAAATACCTTTTATAAGAGACATAAACACAGATTATACACATAGATTTCACCTGATGGGATGCACATGAGTCAGACTGATTACATCTGTGGAAGGAACCGTTGGAGAAGATCAATATCAGCAGTAAAAACTAGCCCAGGTGCTGATTGTGGAACAGACCATCAAGTACTCATATGAATTTAAAAACCAACTCAGGAATAGGTTTGAGGCCTGAACACTAATGAATGAATACCAGCTGAACTGTGGGAAGATATCAAGAATATCATTCATGAAGGATGCAAAAAGTTATTACAAAGAAGGAAGAAGAAAAGATCAGATTGGATGTCAGAAGAGATTCTGAATATTGCACTAGAGCGACAAGAAGCCAAAGCAAAGGGAAGAAATCATTGTTTTAGAGACATGGAAATCAAAACACAATGAGATACGACTTCACACTCACCAGGATAGTTACTATCAGAAAATAAGAGATGTTAAAGAAAAAAGAAAATAAGAGATGCTAAAAAAGAAAATAAGAGATGCTGTTGGAGATGTGAGAAACTGTAACCCTTATCCACTGTTGCGGTGGACAACAGTTTCCTTCCCGATGAAGCTATTAAAAGACATAGTCCATCAAAATAAGGAAATAAAGGGGGGTAGGTCTGAAACCCAGGAAATGGAATTTAATACAGAATGAGGCAAATAGTGATGCTATGGTCAGTTATTTATCAGACCTGGTGAGAATTCTACAAGAGTTTGCTGGACATAACAGAATACCTGAAGAGTTTAAATATTTTGAGAAGATTTTTTTTTACAAAATTTAAGTGTAGATTAAGAGAAGAAACATAGACTATTATTCTAATAAATATACATTTTCAAAAACCCACAGGGAAAACCCATCAAACTCACTGCTATCTAGTCATCAGTGACTCACGTCTATTCAGAAGCCTCCAGGAGATTTCCAGGGGCTGTAAATCACACAGGAGGAGATTGCCCATTTTTCGCCTGTGCAGCTGCTGACAGATTCGAACCACCAGAGAGATGCTGCCTTGGGAGTTAGCAACACAGCTCCCTAAACCAAGAGACATTCCTACTAGAAAAATTAATTATGATATAACCTGGACACATAGTCCATGCTTCAACTGTGCATATTTACATTATCAAAACTATATAAATGATGGATAACAAAAAAAAATATTGGAAGAATGGAATAGAGATGGCTGTATGTGTTTAAGGTATATAAAACAATTCTGAGGGAGCTCTGGTGGCCTAGTGGCAAGAAGCTGCACTGCAATCCCAGAGGTGCACGGTTCAAATCCACCTTCTCTGCTGGAGAAGGAGGGGCAATCTTCTCCTGTACCAGTCAGATCTGATTTGACGGTACACACACACACACAAAATAAACAAAACAAAACAAACCCCCAATACAATCCACTTTAGGTAGGCAATGGATAATATCCAAAATTAAAAAGTAAAACAAGTAACAGCATAAGCAAGAGACTTAGAAATAGGAAGGCAAATTCCAGAAGAAATAGCTACAACTGGTAAAAATAGCTTCAGCTGGGAATAGGGAATGTAAAACAAGAGACTGCTGTTTTCCCTGTTACAAGTGCATTATTGTACAACATACTGTACAATTACTTGACTTTTTTAAAAAATGAAGATATAGTTTACAGACAGGGCATGTATGAGTTTCAACTGCTTGCTTTCCCCCTCCCCGTACTATATTGTTCATTAATTACTGTGACTGAAAATGAAATTTTAAAAAAATGTTATACTCATGCAATTATTTTTTTTGTTTTAAATGAAACTGTGCAGTTGACTAAGAAGCCCTCCTGGGCTGCTTTGGTGAAGTTTTGCAGGAACTCCCTACCCAGAAGAAAGACTACTATTCTAACCAGCCCAAGATAGTTTTTACTGAGAACTCCAAGGAAGGCATTTTTCCCAGCTTGTGGGCTGTATATTTTTAAAATACCCATTACCTTCTTCCATTTTTGCATTAGAAATGAGCATCTGTCTTAAATGCTTGAGGAGGCCAGCCCAAGTAAACGTGCTGTATGCCAGAGAATTCTCAGATATTTGAGGAATGTTACGCACACCCAGCATCTTGAATTCAGGATGGGGAACTAAATTCTCCATTAAGTCTCCTGTTTAAAAAGAAAATATAATAAAATAGAGAGATCTGAATGAAATCTTTTTATTCCAGGTTGTCATTGTTGGCTTATACATAACATGATTTCTGGATCAAATTTATTTTCTCCTATAAAGTCAGAATTGCTTATGTTTGAAAATATAAATACACCACTCCTCACTTATTGACATGGCTAAGTTCCAGAGATCAGGCCATTATGTGAAAACCAGCAGTGTGTGAAAGTGGAAAATGACACCATCACTGCATAACTTCCAGATTACATAACTACGTAAGTGTCAAACCAATCTGAGAATCACAGACCAGTTAAACTGACACATAACCTTAATCATCATGGTCAGTGTTACTTGTGCCTCACACATTAACAGTCTTTACTAGTAAACGTATGTCATTCAATATATACAACACATGAACTAGAAAGACAGTAGATTTCTTACTATTGTTGCAAATGCAAAATGTTGAATACTAAGTTAGTTGATAAGAAAAGAGAACATGTAGCATTTTAGAGACAAATGCTATTACATATCACATATTTGCTTCATTTTAGCACTTTAGTATTAAGGGGAAAATACACATTTGCAAAAAAAGAAACAAGAGTTGAAAAGCTGAGTGACAAGAAATTTGAACAATTACTTAGTTAAATAATAGGAGAACAAAGTAAGTACAAAAGCTGAAATGCTTTTCTTATCATCCTGTGGTCACCAAATGTTCACTTAGGAATTTTTATAATTTTTTCCCCATATTTTCTATGGCTAAATGATCAAAACCTGTTAATGTGAATTTGTGATTCCTGAGAACAGAAATCTATCTTTCACAATTAGATTTGCAATGAAAAAAGAATTAAAGAATGGCTCATTTGCTGTGCATTCAAAGCTCTCTTACACATTTATAAAAATAACAAGAGGAGTGAGAAAATATTTTAAAGTAACATGAAATATCCACTTTATGATAACACTGAGTACAAAATTCTATGTCTTCATGAAAAGTAAGTTTTAACATGAATATCTACAAAGTGCACTAGAACTGAACATATGCTAGGAGCGTTTCTTGAGACCCTAATAATCTTTTAAAAGTTTCCTAGTGTTGAATTCTATTGCATAATACAAAGAAATAAACAACATTCAGCAAATAATTCCCGAACATTAATGCACAAATTTAAAAATCAAGAAAGGTGTGGGTCAGGGCTAAATCCTTTCTCCATATCTATTCAGTCTGCATACTAAGCAAATCATTCAAGAAACTAGACTTAAGATTCTGACATCAAGATTGGAGGAAGACTCATCAACAATTTGCATTATGCAGATGACACACCTTGCTTGCTGAAAATGAGTGGGACTTGAGGCACTTGCTGAAAAAAGATCAAGGACTACTGTTTTCAATATGGATTACTTATCAACATCAAGAAGACAAAAATCTCCACCACCAGGCCACATCATGACAGATGGAGAAAAGATGTACACTGTCAATGATTTCATTTTACTTGGATCCAAAATCAGCATCACCCTTGGTACCAGCAGTCAGGAGATGTATATAGCACTGGGAAAGTCTGCTGTTAGAGACCACTCCAAAGTACTGAAGAGCAATGACGTCAGTTTAAAGACTAAAGTTTTTCCAATCACTTGCTATGCATCTGAGAGCTGGACAATGAATAAGGATGACAGAGGGGGAATTGATGCCTTTGAGTTGTCGTGTTGGAAAAGAGTACTGCATGGACTCATGGACTCCCAAAAGAACAGAGATGTCTTGGAGAATGTGCAGCCAGAGGGCTCTTTGGAGGCAAAGATGGTGAAACTTTGTCTCACATACTGTGGGCATGTTAAGAGAGGCTATTCCTTAGTGAAGGACATCATGCTTGGAAAGATGGAGGGTCAGCAAAGGAGGGGGAAGACCCTCAGCGAGATGGACTGACAGAGAGGCTGCATCAATGGGCTCTCAAGGGTGTTGGGGGTAAGAAGGATGGTACCGTTTAGGACAGGGCTCAGATCTGTTGTTCATGTGGTTGGTATGAGTCATCCGCAACTCGATGGCACTTAATGACATCGATGCATGAATTAGTAGTTGTTGCATCTTTCTCTCATTTTTTTTAAAATTTATTTTATTATTGTGTGTGTGTGTACTGTCAGATCAGATCTGACTGGTACAGGAGGAGATTGCCCCTCCCTCTCCAGCAGAGCATCTGGTGGATTTGAACGGCGCGCTTCTGGGATTGCAGTGTAGCCACTAGGCCTCTTTCTCTCCTTTCTAATTTTGACTACTTCCATTGCAACCATCCTTTGACCTCATTGGAGCCCTAATCCATAAATCTTTTGCCTTCTCAATTCATCAGCCTATCATTTTCCCCCCACTTTCTTCTCTATTAAAGTGGAAAATCATAGATTCAATTACACTCCTTAAACAGGATTTGCCATGGAAAGATACTTCAAGGAGGTAACAATAGCTAAGATTTGAAAGTTGTAAAGGAAAATGGCTCACAAAAGAATATTCTAGAAGCAACGAACAGGAAGGTAGAGGACCAATGGTGCAAATGAGCAGAGTTATATGAGAAAGAATGCAGCGCCTAATATTTCTGAAGAGTGGCTCTGATGGCACTGTGGTTAAAGCATTTGGATGCTATTTAAATGGTTGCCGGCTCAAATCCTGAACGTTTAGAGAAAGATAAGGAAATATGTTTTCATAAACATTTATAGCCTTGGAAACTTTATGAGGCAATTCTATTCTATACTACATAGGGTCACTATGGGTTCAAGTATATCAGAAATGATATGGATGGCACAGGATAGGACAGGGTTCAGATCCATTCACAGTGTCACTATGAGTTGTAGTTGATTTGATGGCACCTAGCAACAACTTGAAAAAAAATCCACACACTAGCAGTGGGCTGGAACATTTCTGAACAGAGGGAGAATGGGAAGAGCAATGGGGAAATCGGCCTTGCCATGTTACTAGAAGAATGAAGATTAATCTCAGTAATTAGATCGTTGACATTCCAGAAAATGTCCACAGCACTCTCTGAAGGGAACCACAGTTGGTGTGAAGAGCCCTAGAGGGAGCCCCCGCAGGAGGCCTTTAATCACATCAATGAAGAACTCATTCTCCTTAGAAAGAAATAAAATATACATATAAAGGCTTCACTGTACTGACAAACTGTGGGGAAACAGAAAGGGACTGGCTATTGTTGACAGTATCTGTAGTCACTGTAGCCATATACAGAACATGATGGCATTACCCTGGGATTATATTACAAGAGAAGGTCTGTGTATTCTCATTTCCCTACCAACATCATCATGCAGGAGAGCAGGTCTCTTGTTGAAATGTTAAGTCCTGAAGTGGAAAATACATTTGTAGGGTTTGAGTGAGGTGAAAGGTTGCTTGTTCAATATTGCAAGCCCAGAAATATGAGTTAATTCTTGAAGGAAATGACACTAACTTGTATTAAATTCAACTGTTTTAATTCAGTAAGGAAGAGAGTTAAAATAAGGATGTGCAAAATGTTTTTAATGGTATCTATGTCTCTGAAAAAAAGGAATTGTTCAATAGGCTCCTGAGTAATATCTAAGAGGTTTCCAGCTATGGAACTGAGGCCAGATGATTCCTATGACCTATTGGTGATAATTAAATCCGTTAATTTGAGGAGAGAGAGAGAGAAGGAGGGAGGGAGAGAAAAGAATATATAGAGAAAAAGAATTTGAAGATCGATCCTATAGGCCTCATTGAAGGAATTCTACACTTTATAGTAAGAAATCTGAACCTAAGGTTTTTAACTAGAGAAACTGAGAAACTGAAACACATAGTTACAAAGTTGGAGGTATATACACACTGGCTTGGAATAACAAGCTACTTTGTAACTTGCATCTAAATATTACTTCTAGTACTATATTATTACTCAGAGACTGGGGTAATGGGGTAGGTGTGTTGGAGACAGTGAGATTGTCACAGTTTAGAACAGGGTTTAGAGCTGTTATACATAGTGTTGCTGTGAGTTGCAGGGGACTTGACAGCACAAAACAACAACTATATTATTATGTTAAAGATGTTCTAGTGTATCTGAAAGTGTTTCTTTAATTTTTTTATGTAAAGAGAGGGATACTAAAATAAGATGAATGTTTAACTAAAGTTAGATACGAAATGTGTTAACTGTTCCAACTTCCATACAAATTCAACTTAAATACAGATTTCGGAATGGAACTCACAGGAAATCTGGGAACTTCATTTTTTATTGCATATGATTTGTACTTCTTCAGTAAGTATTTGTGTACCTGTTACTTTTAAAGGAAAACACACTTTGAAAGGAGTAAAGGTAATATAAATAAATAAAAAAGAGACTCAAGAATGCCACAGGAATTCAGAGAAAAGAAGGGCTTTTTTCTGGTTAAAGAAAATTTCATGGGGAAAAAAAATCATCCTTTGAATTGGATCCTCAGGGTGAGTAAGATTTCAGGGAAGAAGAGAAGAACTCTGAAAGAGAGGGAACACTGAGCAAAGGAACAGGGATAGAAAAATACTACTTGAAGACAAGCAGTTGAGATCCGATGAAAGGTAGGCGGTAGTGGTGGTTGTTCGGTGTTGTAAAGTCTTGTACAACTCATAGTGACCCATTAACAACAGATCTGAATCCTGCCCGATCCTACGCCATCCTTATCCTCCCTGACACACCTGAGCCTATTGCCACAGTCACTGTTATTAATCCATCTCATTCCTCTCCTTTGCTGACCCTCCACCCTTCCAAGCACAATATGCCTCTTCAACAAATAACCTCTCCTATCAACATTCCCAAAGTCTGTGAGATGAAGTGTCACCATCCTTGCCTCCATGGAGCATTCTGGCTGTACTTCCTCCAAGACATATATTTGTTCTCAATTTGCTGTCCTGGGGTAGTTTGTGGGTTGCTGTGATGCTGGAAGCAACGCCACTAGTATTTCAAAAGCCAGTAGTGTCATTCATGGTGGAGAGATTTTAGCAGAGTTCCAAGATTCAGACAGACTAGAAGCAGAAATGGCTATTCACTTCTGAAATCACAGGCCTTCAAAAACCCTATGAACAACAGATATAAGTGCACACTCATGCAAAAAAGACTGTCATGGATTGACTCATGTCTCTCACATTTATTTGGCTGTCCATGGTTCTCAGTGATTTGCATGTAAAAAACATAATGTGGCAGTTATGGAAGATCCAATATGATGTGATCCCCCAATCAGTTCTAGAGAGAGGGCTGACGGTGGGAAGAAAGAAGAATTTCCTTGGGGTGTAGCCTGTAACATTTTTATCTTGTAAAAAAAAAAAGGCTAGAGAAGCTGAGTGAGGGGGATATCAGGATCACCAAGAAAGAAGGGCCAGGAGTAGAATGCATACTTCAGACCTTGGTTCCTTCTCTAGAAATGTCTCCTCAGCTCAGGGGAAGTCCATGACACAGGGAGAGCTCCAAAGAACCCAGGCCCACAGATGTTGAAAGGAGCCAAGTACCTTTCTCCAGAGTCAAAAGGAAATGGGAAAGATCAGTGTTAAAAATAATGTGTATGAATTTCGTAAGTAAACCAGTATAAAATAAAACTTTCAGAACAAAGGTAGCATAGTGGAGTGGACTTGCGGGGAGGGATTGAATAACAATGAAAGAATATTTTCTTTTACTTTTCAAAAAGAAAAGCGAATTGGAGGGGATGGGTAGGGAGAAAAGTGCAACAATGAATGAATGGAAATTCAAAGTCTCTATAAACTTTCATTAAAATAAATTTAAAATAAAAAAAAAGAGAAAGATTTCCCCTAGAGCAGGCATACTGAATTTGGAATTCTAGTCTCCTAAATGATCAAAATATGAATTTCTATTAAAGTCAGCCACTTATGTTCTCTCTTGTGGTACTACATAGACAGTGGAGGACAGGACAAGGTTCTGCTCTGTTGTTCACAGGGTCACTACTGCCTTTAGTTGATGTGATGGTACCTAACAACAGACAGAAAGAGATGAAGGTGCAAAGTTGCGGGGTAAGGCATTATGGGAGAACAAGGAATGCCAAGCTAAGAAATCCTGACAGATCACACAGGTAACACAGTCCTTAGTTACCCTTCAAGGCTAGAAGTGAGATCACCTCCATGACTCAACTTCTAACAGCAAAGCTCTTGGATGTGCATAAAAGACACAAGATTAGAAGTGTGTTTTGTGGAAGCACATTTGGAGCTTGTGTGCAAGGCGTAAGAGGCAGGTAACAGGGAGAAAAGATTAAGCCTACCTTACTAAACTTCTATTTTTGTGCTTAAAAAAAAAAGGAAATAGAAAGAGGCAAGCTTTGCTTTGTATTCAAAGAGTATCTGAAGAGTATGGCAGGTGTATTAGGAGGTGCTGGGTGGCCTGTGTGGGAGAATAGCAGCAGTACCACCTAGCAGTGCCTCTGGAAACAGGCCTAGCAACTTATCTCTGAAAGGAAACCCTCTGGAGCATTTCTACTCTGCATGCAAGGGTCACCATGAGTCAGTGGGAAAGGACTCAAAACCAACAGCTACATTAGCTGAGAAATACTGAGGCCCTGAGCTAATGTTGCTGAAACAGGAGAGTAAGGCAAGGAAACCAGAGAGATGGCAAAGATGACACTGACAAGTCTGATCATACTGATGAGATGGGAGGACAAGGTGAGACATCTGGGAGAGAGGAATAGAGCACTGGGTGAAAGGAGTTGGTCTTGGTAATAGGTACGAACAAAACAGAAAACCTAACTGATGGCCAACAAGTTAGTTCCACTGTCTACCTGGTTTCTGAGGTATACAGAAGGATACTGTCTACTTTCACCTTCAGAGCTGATGGTGGATTAGAATTGCCGATCTTTTGATTTGCAGCCTGATATGCTACCAGGGCTCCTAGTGATCTGTGAATAAAAAGATAAACTCATCCAAAATGTGCTAAATCTGAAGCAACAAGAAGCAACTATCTGGGGAAGATATTAGAACTTAAATTTACTCATTGCTTTTGAGTAGGAACCAACTTATAGCTAATTCTCTAGTGTGTTTTTGGAGACTGTAGATTGCATAGGAAAAGACTTCCCATCTTACTCCCACTGAGCCGCTGGTGGATTTGACCTTACGGAGTCAGTAACTCTGGGTTAGCAGCAAAGCTTCCTATAAACTAGGCTGGCAGAGCTCCCTTTAGAATTGGTGGTAAGAATTACAGAGTCATTTGCATCTAGATAAGGAGCTCTGATGGTGCAGTCTGGTGAGAGTTGTCCTGCTAAACCAGATGTTATGTCTCTCTGGAGATCTGAATCCACCAGCCCCATCTCAGAGAGAAAGATAGCAATCTCTTCGTGTGCAATTTACAGCCTCAAAAACCCACTGGAGGGTCAGCTAGAAGTCTGTTCCAATTCTACAGCAAAGTGCTGCATACAGATGATCTGAACTGACAGGGTACCATTTGAAGAATAAGAGCTGGAGAAATGAAGTTAGGAAGTAGTCTTAAGTAGCACCCATAAAGATTTCCATTCTTGCAACCCTCTCAGGTAGTTCTACAGGGTTGCTGTAAGTCAGAACTGACTTAACAGCAGGGGGTCAGTTACTGAGGCCAAGAGAAGCCCCTAGATTTGGAGAGTGTAAACTATGGTGAATAAAGAGGACCAAGCTGGGAGATAAGTGGAGAGAAATAGGTGGCAAGGCAAAAGAAAAGGAATATTAAAAAAAGTACAAAGACAACCCATGGAATGAGAGCATTTTGGGAGGGGACATGACAGATCATAAACTAATTAAGAGATTTATATTGAGACTATGGAGTCTCTGGATGGTGCAAATGGTTTAAAACATTCAGCAACTAAGTGAAAGGTAAGGGGTTTGAGTCCACCTAGATGTGCCCTGATAGGTTTGGAAACCTATTTCTGAAAAATGAGTCATTGAAAACTCTGTAGCACTTTGACACAAGTAGGATTGTCATCAGTTGAAACTGACTCAACAGTAACTGGTAAAAATTAAGACTATGTACCTATGAGCTTTAGTCACCCTGCAAGCATGGAAGTGAAATCACCCCTGTGACTTTACTTGCAGCCAAATAACAGACAGCTTGTAAGGTGACTGATAAGAACAGGGAGGAATAGACTCCTAAGAAAAATTAACTTTACAAGATCAGAAGGGCTGCATTTGCCTATGGACAACTGGATATGGGAAACACTGAAGGACAAACAGAAACAGGAAACACAGGACAGAAGTGAGGAGAGTGCTGTTACAACGCAGGGATTATATTCAACATCACATGGAAGACAGATTTGTTCTGTAAACTTTTACTCAAATCTCAAAAAAAGGTTAAAAAAATACAGAATAAAGAACTATTAAAACCTAAAAAGATAAATAGCCCATTTTCTTTTTTTTTTTTTTTAAAAAAAAGGGCAACAGATCTGACTGCAGGTTTTCAGAACACGAGACTGTCTCCCAAATAACAGATGGGAGGATGAGGGGACACGTACCTAAAGGATTTCTTCTGTAGTGAAGTGAGTCTTCTGCAGAGTAGGTAGGCTGGAATATACTTCCCAACTGATGTGCCAGGACTTGATTTATATCACTGAAGGAGATCTGTCTGATGTTCATCAGTTTGGCACAGATCTTATGGATAGTGTCATTTTCTTGGAAAAGGAGAGCATCCGAAGATCGGTACAAGTGAGAAAGAGTCAAAACAGAGTTGTAGTTCTGAACAATAACCTAGAGAGAAAATGGTCAGGAACAAGAAAGGTCGGAGTGAAATGGTGGTTGGGAGCAAAGATTCCAAAGACATCCTGCCTCCTGCCTGAGTTCACATTCTACTGTTATTTTCTGTCTGTGTAACCTTGGACAAGATATTTAATGTCTCTTGTCTTAGTTTTCTGTTATAAAAAATAAACAACCAAAAAATCCTAACCCATTGCCATCATGTCGATGCTGAGTCATGAAGGAAAGATGGAGACAATAATGAGATCAGTCTCTAAGAGCTGAAAAAGTTGCAATAATGCAAGAAAAGCACTTATACACAGGAAGAGTTGAATAAATGTTGGCCATTATTACCACATTTCCTACCTGTAAGAAGCCCAAGTGGCACAGTGATTTGACTAAGCAAAAGGATTGTGGTTTGAACCATGAGGGCCTCCTCAGGAGAAAGATGTGGCAGGTTGCTTTTGTAAAGAGTACAGCTTAGGAAACTGTATGTTGTTGTTGTTGTTATGTGCCATCGAGTCGCCTGCGACTCATAGCGACCCTATGTACAACAGCCCTAAACTCTGCTCTGTCCTGTGCCAATCGCACTGTCTCAGACACTCCCATCCCAATTATCCCAATCACTGAACCTAGGAAACTGTATAGGGCAGGCAAATTCTGTTCTCCAGGCTCACAGTGTCAATCAACTTGATAGCAATGGGTGGGGTTTTCCTTTCTACATTGAGTTCGTACTTCCATTTTATTGATTCTCCTACTAGACAGATCAATAGAAAATTGGCCTATGTACAAATTTCTTCCCCATGGGGAGAAATAAAAATTATTGGAAGGTTGGTAATGGCACCGAGAACCCCAATATGAAGTCATGGTCTCTGCTTTACAATCTGTAGCCAAAAGGAAAAAGCCAGAAGTGGGTTCTTGGGAAAGGTCTGTTGGCCTAGTGGCAAGAAGCTGCAACTACAGTCTCAGAGGTGCACGGTTCAAATCCACCAGATGCTCTGCTGGAGAAGGAGGAACAATCTCCTCCTGTACCAGTCAGAAGTGGGTTCTTGAGAGGAGGGGCACAATTGTCTTCTTTGAAAATTTAAAAACAAAGATACTTTGTTTTTAATTTTTTAAATTAATTTATTTATTTTTCTTTTCAATGAACATCTACAGAGATTTTGGAATTCCATTCATTCATTGTTGCACTTTTCTCCCCGCCGCGCCCCCCCCCCCCCCCCCCCCCCCCCCCCCCCGGTTTGCTCCTCTCCTTGAAAAGCAAAAGAAAAACTCCTTCATTGGTACACAATCCCCCCCGGGACATGCCCCAACCCCACCCCAAATATAATCCACTCTGCAACCCTCATTCCGTACTCTTATGATAAACATAATGCCCTGAAATATAATACTTTTAAACTATTCTCCCCCTCATGGACTTCAAAGCAGTAAACATAATTTATCCAGAAACAAAGATATTTGTATGGAAAAGTTTGAGCAAAATTAAGTGTATTGCACTCATGAAAGTATGTTTTTTAATCACTCTGGAAGCTGTAACTTAACATTTCCAAAGAAGAGAAGTAATTTCCAACCCACATTTATTTCCATTTCAAAGAACATAAAACATAACTTTTTCAATTAATATGTTCATACCTCACCAGTTCCAAAAGGCCATATTATCTGATTCATTTTCAAGGAATTTGGGTACTGATCTTGTAAATTCTGGGTAATAAAGGCTCCCAGTCCTGATCCTGTGCCCCCAGCCATACTCATTATGATGAAAAAGCCACTCAATGAGTCACATTTCTCCACTTCCTTCTGAACTAGGTTCATGATAGATTCTTCATGTCTGGGCCCATGAACAGAGTAACTATGCAATGTGAAAGAGATACATGTAAACAAATTTAAAACTGACCACAGAGATGCAATTAAAAGAGAAAGAGAAACAGCTTTTCAGAGCTGTGCAGGGGAATGAATTCTCATGAAGACTACAAGTACTATGATTAGCAGAATTTAAAATATGATTAATGAGTGAATGATGGCTAGCAGAGTACCCTTACTAGATATAGGAAACACTCTGTTATGGGACATTAATTGAGTTTGAGCCTTCAATTACCATATAGTTCTGCAAGTTTATAGCACAACATAATTATTTGATAATCACAATAACAGTCCTATAGCAGTGGTTCTCAAACTTTTCTGTGCATTAAAATCACCTGGGCACCTTTGGAAAATCCCAGCAGCTTGACTTCATCCAAATAATTATATGAAAATTTCCTGGAGTGAAGCCTAGCTGTTGAGGTTTTCTGAACATCTCAAGGAAATTCTAAAGTGCAGCTGAGTCCTGGAACCACTGCCTTGTAGTACTTTTGTCCAGTAACTGGAATACTAGCCAGATAAAGATAATGTGTTAGCAGTAGGTCAGCTGGCAGCATGACAATGAAAGAAGGTGGAAAGCGTTTCTCCAAAAAGATCCTTGGTTTCATCATTATCTGTGCCTGAAGGACTGACAAAGAGAATGAGTTTCTTCAAACTTTAAATCTCAAAGTAACAATCTCAAGATGGTGTGCTAGGTCTATCAACTGTATGACTGTAACTATATTGTCTGTTAATCAACAATGTAGCTGTAACTAAAATGGCAGATTATGTAGACTTATTCTTACCCATATGCCCAGTTGTTTCCAGAACCTTGTTTTTGACAGAAACATGCATGCTGGCCATATTTCCATCGACCAGGTTGAGTAGCCTTTGATAGTGTTTGGTTGATAACTTTAGGTTCCATATCAACAAGCAGAGCCCGGGCAACTAGAGCTAAAGAAGGACAAAATTAAAAGATATTTCCCATGTCTTATTTGGGTTAATTCAGAGCATAAACTTGTGGGTCTTAAAAAAAAAACAACCCAGCCAAAACTTGTAGATCTAGGAAAAAACAACAACTCCAAATCAGCTATTATCTTACCCTGAAATCCAGGTGGGTAACAGCAGGCCTATGTAAATAAAGTCCAGCATTCTACTAAGCAGGACGAATCAATGTAGCTAAAATAAACCCTTGACCAGTTCTACCAACATCCATTGTGCTTGTAAGGTCCCATATACTGTGCTTGGAATGCAGACAACATCACACCGGCCCCTGAAGGACTTAGGATACAATGGAAAGGACAAAACACATAAGAGGATATCATTTCTAGAGATATAAAATACCACCAGCACAGGTAGTTCAAGACTGTTTTAGAATAAAGAGGAGAAGGAGGAGTAGGAGAAGTGCTGGATGAGGCTGGAATGAAGGGAGTAGTGCCCAGATCTTGGAAGTTTTAGTATAAAGCTTGCACTTCATTTTTCAGGTAATGTGAATTTTTCCCTCAACCAAGGGGAAAATACTCAGATCTGTCTTATTCACAAAGTATGCAGTGTGGAGGACAGATGTAAGAGACACAGACTTCAGACTAGGAAACCCAGGAACAGAACATGAAACAATCCAGGTGAAAAAGGACACGAGCATGAACTACAGGCAATGTTGTTATGTACCGTCTAGTTGGAACCGACTCATAGCTGACCCTCTAGTGAGTTTTCAGAAGCAATAAGTCACATGGTAGGAGACTGTCCTTCTTCCTCCTTCAGAGTAGCTGGCTGATTTGAACTGCCTTGAGTTGCCATTGCAACTCCTTACTACTAAGCCACCAGAGCTCCCCAAGGGCAATGACAGTGAAGATGAACCACTTCATTTATA